CATTGTTGTTTGGCGGCCTGGGCTGGGGATTCGAACCCGCCACCTTCGGTGTACGTGGCTGGCGCCTTAGCCGCTTGAGCCACAGGCGCTGAGCCATGAGGTTTGTTCTTAAGTTGACTTTGTATATAAGTTGGAACTAGTACATTTACCTATTACTTGTTCCTAAGTTCAAGTCATATGTCAGTTGGATGTTTGTAACTTGGGGGCTTACTGTAATCGCCTCCATTCATGAGCGCTGGCTGTTAGTTGCATGTTTGTAATGCAGGGACTGCCTGAATTTCAGTCTGCAGGCGGCAAACTCTTAGTAGGTAGAGATATTAATGTAGTGGATCATGACCAGCGTTTTAAAACATGAAATAGAATAGAATTGATGTATTAAAATCTAGCATGGTTGTTAAGTAGAATGATTTCATGAAAGATAGGTAGGTAGGTTCACAGGTAGGTAGATATGAGTTGCGGCATAAATGTACTACTGTTGGTTGTACTCGGTGAAGTCTGAAAGTCACTGGCTAGCTGACTTTGGGTGCTGACACTCACTGGGCAGGGTGTATCTGCTCTATCGGTCTGTCCTGGGTTCTGGGTCCCAGTCTCAAGCCTGTGGTACCCCTCAAGACCCAAGAAAAGTGTACTCTGAAGATGGGTGCTTGTGATGTGTCCTCTTTTTTTTTTTTTTTGAGACAGAGTCTCACTATGTTGCCCTTGATAGAGTGCTGTGGCATCACAGCTCATAGCAACCTCAGACTCTTGGGCTCAAGTGATTCTCTTGCCTTACCCTCCCAAGTAGTTGGGATTACAGGCGCCTGCCACACTCCTGGCTATTTTTTTGTTGTAATTGTCATTGTTGTTTAGCTGGCCCAGGCCGGGCTCGAGCCCACTGGCCTTGGTGGATGTGGCCGGTGCCGTAACCACCATGCTACAGGCCGTGATGTGTCCTCTTTGAAAGGGACATTTTTGAGTCCGGCCACTGAGCCAGGGGATCCTTGTTGGAGGAGAAGGTGACCCCATGCTTGGCTGACAGGGAGGTATCTTGTCAGCTAGGGTGGGCTCAGTAGAATTTTGCAGGCTGTGTGAGGAGGGGAGCACTGCACTAGGACCCCTCAATTCTGTCTTTTATCCTAGGTCTGTCACTCACTGCTGTATGACTCAAGGCAGGTGACTTGCTTTTCCTGGCCTTTAGTTTAATCATGTACACTTGGGGATAGTAGGATCAAGTGATTTCTAAGGTCTTGTTCTCATAGTCTGTTCTAAGATGACATTAGAAAAATCTGAATTTTCTGGGAAATCCCCAAAGGGAAGCCAGTGCTGCCCACCAGGCTTCTCCTGAAGACCCCTGAAGCCCCAGGTGAAGCAGATGCTTATGTTTATAGACCCCAGTCAGGGTTGGGGGTAATGGTAGCAGCAAGGGCATACGATGACAGAAGCAGCCGGAGCCTGAGCCAGGTCTCTGTGGACAGCATTTATTAGGCGCCATTCTCAGTGTGAAGACAGATAGGCAGGAGATGCTGAGGGGAGGCCTTGGCAGCCGCAGCCTTTGGAGTCCAGGGGCTGCCCGGGGTAGAGGTGTGGGTGCAGGGGCATGTCACCCACACATATTGCATATTTTGTGGCAGTGTGCCCAGGCATAAGGCATTGGGGAAGCAGAGAGTCTGCCTGCAGTGGAAGGGGGTGAGGGGAGAAGTGACACTGGCCTTCCAGTTCCCTAGGAAAGACCCCACTGGAGAATGAGCAGTCTGCTACGCTCTGCCCTGGGGCCATTCTGTCTCCTTCCTCACCATCTCTCTGCAACTTTGGTTGTGGCTCCCTCGGGAATGACGGGACAGGACCCTTCGAGGGCAGGGTCACACACAGGACAGAGGCAGCCAGCACTGCCCCCCACCCCAACATAAACACAGAGGGCACCCCTAGGTGTAGGTCCTGCTCTCCTGGCATGTGGGCAGCCAGCTCCTCCACACTGAGACGGGACTCACACATGGGCTAGACTTCTTGCCCCCAGGGGTCTGCAGAGACTAGAGGACATAGTTGAGGAGGCCTGAAGCTGGCGACCCTGCAGGCCTTTCCCTCCAGCTTCCCTGAACACCAGGGCTGGAGTTGCTCGGCAGTGTTAGGGCACAGCATGGAAGGGCAGTACTTTGGGAGAAGAGGTCCCTCATCTGCCCCTGATGCTGTCCTGGTCACTATACCAGCTTTACCTGTGGGTTGCCAATAATGAGCCTCAGATATCACCTCCATCTGCTGCACTTCATCTGGGTTCTGGGTTGCAGATGGGGTGGGCAGAGGGCACACCAAGTCCCAAACCTCCCCTACCTGGGAGGGCTGTTCCTTGCTGCAGCCTCAGCTTATCTCTAGCTACTAGGGACACAAGCACCAACACTGGTGGTGGGTTCAGGGATGATGTTCCATAGGATCTGCCTGCCGGCTCTCTTAGCCACTCTGCCAACCCTTAGAGGCCCAGTTCCTGGCCTTTCTTTCTTTCTTTCTTTTTTTTTTTTTTTGAGACAGAGCCTCAAGCTATCCCCCTGGGCAGAGTGCCGTGGCATCACAGCTTACAGCATTCTCCAACTCCTAGGCTCAAGCAAGTCTCCTGCCTCTGCCTCCCAAGTAGCTGGGACCACAGGTGCCCGCCACAACGCCTGGCTATTATTTTTTTGGTTGCAGCCATCATTGTTGTTTGGCGGGCCCAGGCTGGATTCAAACCCGACACCTTAGGTGTATGTGGCTGGTGCCTTAGCCACTTGAGCCACAGGCGCCGAGCCCCTGGCCTTTCTTTCATGAGACTCAGCCCTGCTTACCTTGGTCCCAAGGACTTCCCTGTTTGTAACCAGGCAGCCCATAGACAAAGGCCCCCACACCACCTCAAGGATGAATTCAGGGCACTGTCTCCTGGCCAGGAGTAGAAGAGGGTGTGCCTCAGCAGTGGCCTGGCCCTGGGCTTTTGGTTCTGGTTTAAGTCTCAGCTACCCACACAATGCTGGGGTGTTCAGGACAGGAGCTTTGCTTTCAAGAGCAGGCTGAGCTGGAAGGAAAAAGTACAAAAGAACCAGGCTGGGTTCTTGTTCCCCTTTGCTTTTTACTATCTGTATCACCTTGGGCAAGTCACTTCACCTGTCTGGGCCCCAGTATTCTCATCTGTAAAATGGCAATAACAATTCCTGCTCTGGGACCTAATTGGGTGTTGTGAGACTCAAATAAATAACCAGGACAGAGTTTTTGGAGGCCAAAATCCACTTCACAAATTTAAGAATGGTAGTTAATCAGCATTGGCTGGGGATGGCAAGTCTGTTTCAAAATCCAAGGGCAGTGTCTGGAAGGCTGAAGTCCTCCCAACCCCTATGAGAACGAGGCCAAAGGCCAGTTAGCTCTCATCTACCAGTGTGACCATGCTGCAGACTGAGGGGCCGCTGCCTCCTCCACTCCCCTCACCTCGGCCCCTCCTGCTGCCTGCCTGTCCTACCTTTTTTCTGTCTGCCCTCTGGGGACTAACTTTAGGGACTTCTGGGTGTCCACTTTCTCCATAATTGCAAAGCCATGCAAAACACCACAAAGGTAGTGGGAGGTTGGGTGACACAGCAGGGAATGGGTAAGGGGAATGAGACTGAGTAGGGGTGACCTGGACAAAGACACCTTGGCTTTTGGAGCCAAGGGAAGGTGAGAGACCTGGCAGGACAGAGGTATAAATAGAGATGCAAACGAACATGGAACATGAAGTCCCCTCTGGAGGTGGGGGTCTGGGTACCAGCAGGGTCTCTGAGGACTGGGGAGCTTCTTAGGTTTCCAAAGGGATAGGAGGCTCCCAGCTTCTGCCCTCCTCCCAACCCCCCCAAGTTTCACATTTCTCGGAATTTTCAGGGCTCGGATGGGGGCTCCAGGGGTCCTCAGAGCCCGGCCTCCTGCCAGCTGGTGCGAGCAGGCACAGTCGGAGATGGGGGGGCTGAGAGAGAGTGGTGAGGGGTGTTGGGGGAGTCCCACTGGGTTGAAGGCGGCTGGGTCGGGGTTCCTGGCAGACCCTTACTCCTCCCCCCATCCCAGCTGGAGCCCCAGCCAGCACCCCCAGGCGCTAGAGGCCCCCTCGGGGCGTTCACACCGAGCTCCTGCGCTTCATGAGGCTGCGGAAGGTGGACAGGCTGTGCAGGCCCGTGGACACCGAGCTGATGGCGGAGCGAGGTGCCCCACTGCACAGGCAGCGGCGCGACGGCGTGTCGCTGTAGCGGCCGCCCATTCCTGGCGACGAGTGGCTGTGCTCGACGCACGTGTCAGACGTGGAGAGGTCCCGCGGGATGATCATGGGGATGGAGTACTGCAGCTTCTCACGGCTTTTGTACCAGAGGCACGAGCACATGGACTGAAAGTGCAGCACCTCTGCGTAGACGTTGCGGAAGCCGCCCCCCGCCGCCGCCGTGGAGGAGGCGGTGTCGGTGGTGTGCGCGCTGCCGCCCCCACCGCCCCCGCCGCCACTACAGCCGACCACCTGCCCATTGCGCGTGAGCAGCGCGCGGTGCTCGGCGTCGCGTTTCTCGTCCTCGGCATTCATGGTCATGAAGCGCAGCACCACGAGGTTGAGGAAGGCGCCGATGACCGTGAGGCCGGTGAGGATGTAGACGAAGCTGAAGGCCACATACTGCGGCTGTGTCTGCAGCGCCTGGTCCTTCTGCAGCGCCACGTAGTCGCCGAAGCCGATGGTGGTGAGCGTGATGAAGCAGTAGTAGTAGGCCTGGAAGAAGGTCCAGTGCTCGTAGTAGGAGAAGGCTGCGGCGCCAATGCACAGCGTGCTGATGCACGAGAAGAAGCCGATGAGCACCATGTTGGCCATGGACACGTCCGCGCGCCGCATGCCCAGCCCCTTCTTCACTCGGTGCAGCAGGTACCTCACGAAGGTGTTGATGCGCTCGCCCAGGCTCTGGAACATGACGAGAGTGAGCGGGATGCCCAGCAGCGCGTAGAACATGCAGAACACCTTGCCGCCATCCGTGCTCGGCGCTGCGTGCCCGTAGCCTGGGGGAAAGCGGGGAGAAGAAGAGAGAAAGTACAGGCTGTGGGGCTGTCCTTCCAGAAACCCTCCTCCTTCCCTCTTCTCCCCTTGGCCTCCCCAGTCCTGTAGGTCTCTGTTTCAACACAGTGATGGGCTGTCCTTATCCCCTCGCACTGTGCTAGTCCCTTGCTTATTCTTTTTTTTTTTTTTTGCAGTTTTTGGCCAGGCCGGGTTTGAATCCACCACCTCCGGTATATGGGGCCACTCCCTACTCCTCTGAGCCACAGGCACCGCCCCCTTGCTTATGCTTTGTCCTTTACTTTTGTGACAACTCCAGGAGGAGGTAGGGAGAGAGGAAGAAACAAGGAGGGGTTAAGTGATTTTCCCAGGTCACACTGTTTGGAAGCAGAGCAACACGTGTTTGAACTCGAGTTTATTTGGCTTCAAAGACTGGACTGGTTGGTATACCTAGAGGACTTGTGGTCCTGCTGGGAACTTGGGCCAGATGCACAGGGACAGTGTGCAGGGCACAAGCTAGTTGGGAGACCTGGGTTCTAGCTCAGTGTTGTGATCTTTGGGCATGCTCCTTGTCCTCCCTGTGCCTCCATTTCTTTGACTACAAGGGGAGGTGGTGGGACCGAATGGGTTCTGACATCCTGTGGAGGGAGGGAAACTGAGGACAGAGAGGACACACCTTTTTATCAAGGATTGCTCCTAGATGATCTCCCTGCTGGCAGCCAAGGCCTAGGGGTGGTGGTTAGTAACCACAAGTGCCAGAGGAGGAGAAAGGAAACAGCCTGAGGAATGAGTACTCCCGGGTCCTCACCAGCCCCTCTACTGGGGTCCTGAGGCCCCAAAGGAGGTTCTGTCCTCGTGGGGAGGTGGTGTTTCCCTGGGTGTCCTTTCAGGTGTGTTACTATCTATCACTAGCCAGACAACCTCTGTGCCTCCTGCTTCCACCCAGCTCTCACTGAGCCAGAAACCAGTCAGAGACAAAGCCCCCCTCTGAGCCAACCATCAAAAGGTCTTAAGTCAAGAATTCTGCCTGGTTGGAGGGAAAATGACCCTGGATGGGAACACAGAAGCCTTGGGCACAAGTTCTGGCCTTGTCCCTAGTGGCCGTGTGATCTTGGGCAAATCACTTTACCTCTCTGAGCATGTTTCTTGATTTGTATGGTCTTCTGGTCCGGGCCCTTCTTTCAATATTGAGATATTTATTACTTTTAATTTTATTTATTTATTTATTTTGAGACAGAGCCTCAAGCTGTTACCCTGGGTAGAGTGCTGTGGCATCACAGCTCACAGCAACCTCCAACTCCTGGGCTCAAGCGATTCTCCTGTCTCAGCCTTCCAAGTAGTTGGGACCACAGGCGCCTGCCATGACGCCCGACTATTTTTTGGTTGCAGCCGTCATTGTTGTTTGGCAGGCCCAGGTTGGATTCGAACCTGCCACCTTAGGCATATGTGGCTGGTACCTTAGCCACTTGAGCCACAGGTGCCGAGCCATTTATTACTTTTATTAATAGAATTATGATATAACAGTGCTGGTAGCCTTTTCTGAAAAAGCAGCCTTTTCCATCTTCCTAGGCTGATCTCTGCCTTATTTAAGTGGCACTGAGAATGTTTAGCTTTGAACTCTAGGGCCAATATTACCACCACCACCCCTGTTCCCCAAGGCCCCCATCTACAACAAGTTGAACACTAGCTTGGGAAGAAGGGATGGGCACTGCTTCTACCTCCACATTCCGGCCACACCCATGGGAGCTCCAAATTCGTTCAATGACTGAATTGCAGAGCAGACTCTGATCTGAGTTCATGTCTTGACTCTGCCATGAACTAGCTGTGTGTGTGTGTGTGTGTGTGTATAAACTCTCTGAGCCTTAGTTTCCACATCTGTAAAATGGAGCTATTAATTAAGTAGCATCTGCCTCATAGGGATTCTGGGGGGAATAAGTAAGATAATATGTAAAATGCATTTAGCCCAAAGCCTGGTACATATCAAGGGCTCAATAATGGCTCAGTGTGATTAATAATGAATGAAGGTGCCAGATTATGCTAACATTTCCAAGAGAGCATGGGCGGGGGGACCGCTCAGTTCCAGTAAAGCTGGCATCTTTTGTCAACGCAAGGCCATTTGTATCATGAAGCTCAGGGAAGTCTGGAGATAGTCGCTCAGGGGTGTGTAAGGCGGTGGGGCTGCTCATAGAAACAGCTCCTCTGCCTCCCACCATGGTGTCGAGCCAATGACTGTGTCACCCTTTGCCAGGGGCCTGGACAGCTGAACTATTGAGCCACTGTGCCTGGGACGTCTGCGCCCCAGCAGGGTGAGAACAGATTGTGCCCGCCAGCTCGGCCATGGCAGCCAGACCACAACTCACCTCGACAGCTGGGCAGGCCCTGAGCCAGAGCTCCTTCTCATCCTGTCCTTCCCTGTCCTCCCAGGCCAGCCTGCTTGGTGTAGGGGGGAAGCTGTGGAACTGTGGATGGGGCTCAGTGGGGAGTGGGGAGTGTGATCTGGCCCTAGCTTGACCATGTGATGGCTGTGTGACCTTGGAGAAATCCGTTTCCCTCTCTGGGCTCACTTCCATCGTCTCCACTTTGGGTTATTGAGCTAGAGCTGTTAATCCCCCACTGGCTGCCCATCAGAGCTGCCCTCAGGAGCTAAGGAGAAACTAGACATGCAAGTACTTTGGAACCTGTGGAGCACGAGACAGAAGCAGTGGAAATGGAATCTCATGGGAGAGAGCCAGCTTGAGAGCACAGTCCTGGGGGCACGGCCATCTCTGTGTCATGCCCTCTGCACCACCACCACTTTGCCCAGTGACTTCCCTGGGCCACCATCTCTTAGGAAAAGCCAGTGCCTTGCAACCCACTGTGCACTGCTGTGAAGCGGAGCGATGCCTCCTTTCCCCGCCCTTTTCCTCACAGTGCTTCCCTGCCCTTTCCCTCCTGCCCCAGCCTGAGCACCATCAGGACTCAGCTCCAGCTGCCAATGACATCCCCTTCCCTGCCTTTTCTTCTGTTGAACTCAGTGACTTCCAAAGCAAATGACATGGCCAGGCTTAACCGGAAGCTCTCATCAGCAGCAGTGCCTTGTGCTCCACCATACCCACTGCCCCGTCCAGGGCAGCCACGGCCTGGGCGTGTCTCACCTTTGGGGTCAGATGCCCCAGCGCTGCCCTCACTTCCTCCCACAGGCTAAGGCTTTTAATACACTCTTACCCTTCAGATATATTTTTAACTTAATCCTCAAAAACTCCTAACAATGTCATTATTATGACTATCTCCATTTTATAGTTGAGGTCATGAGGTCTGGGGAGGCCTTGTGAATTGGCCAAGGCCACTAGGTCTTTCTGACTCAGCGTTCATTTCTGTACATAGGAGCCAATGTATCACCCTAGGAAAGACAACCAGGATGGAAAACCAGGGCCCGGACAGAACATTCCAATCGGAGCTTTAGCTTTAGAAGTGGTAACGGGAGAGAGGCTGCTCAGGGAGGTAGGCTTCTCCAAGTATCAGGCCCAGGGGCAGGGAGCCCCCTCCCCATCTCCTGTCATGTTGTCACTGGGTGAAAGGGTGAGGGAGCTGTGAGGGCCTGCTGACGTGAGCACCCAGCTTGAAGGGGTGCCAGCCGGGTGGAGCCACTCCCAGGGGACCCTGGAATTTCTGGGAAGTAAGGCAGAGTTTGGCAAGACCTGTCTGTCTGCCAGCAGGCCTGCTGCCTGCGGGTCCTTGTCCACCTCAGGCCTGGCTTTACCAGGGAGGGGAGAAGAGGTGTCCTTCATCTTCTTTCTATCCAGCCTCGTGAGGGGCTCCATCTGTCCTTGTGTGTCACTAACAAACACAGAAGCTGCTGTCTGGGCCTGATTCTCTGAGGACCCTCTCTCGCAGTACCTGTTGGACTGATCAGCTAGAACTCATGCCCTGACCATGAGACTCTGGCCAGTGTTTCTTAGAGCACTGATGGGGAGATTTCCCCCCTCCCCACCTCCCTTCCCGGAATCCACTGTAGATGTTAAGGTTCTCAGAGGCAGGAAGGCCCTTGGCAATCATTTAGTATAGTTCTTATAGTGTAGAGATGAGGCAATGCAGGCCCAGAGAGGGAAAGAAAGTAATCTCCTCTAGGCCACACAGCTGGTGAATGGCAGGACTAGGAATATGATCCAGCACACTTGGTTCCAAAGACCAGTGCTCTGTCTACTGCCTCCTGACTCAGGCATGACCAGAGCTGTAAACTATTCATTTAACCGGGGCCCGGTATCTCCTACTGGGGAGGAACTCAGCTAAGAGATGGCCCTGGGACCTGGCTGGAGGCACACAGTTCACTTGAGGAATCAAGTGGTTGGATGTAAAAATGAGTTGCTAGTATATTTCAGGGGAGCAGGAAAATTGACAGGTGGGTCAGAAACCCCTAGGCCTCAGTTCATCTGTTTTCTTCCTGAAATCACCAGGGAGCTCAGAAACAGGCTGAAGCTCTGTGTTTCAGGGAGAAGTGAGGTAGGAGTGGGGGAGTGGGGTTGGGTCTGTCCCTCCCTCCTACTGATCTTTCCCTATGGCCTATTTGTTTCTCGTCAAAGCACAGCAGCCACCATGAGCTCTTGGTAAGGGCCTCGGCTGGCCTGGGCACAGTTGCCGGATGCCCACTGGCTTCCTACGCCTGCTAGCCTGCCTGTCTAACCTCCTACCCTTGGCCTAGCTGGCCACGAGTTTAGGATACTGGCCATGGCCTTGGGTAGAGGAAAGAGCATGAGGTTAGGAGGCAGGAGACCTGGGATCTGACTTGACCTGACCAAAGCTAGCTTTGTGTCTTGGCAAGTCCTTTCCCCTCTTGGGGTCTCAGTTTTCCTCATCTGTGACATGGGGAGACAGGGCAACAGATAAGGTTTTCACCTTTTTTCATTGCTATAGATGTCCTTTATTATTTTCTGTCTATCTGATCCATTCATAGAAGCAAAATTTTGAAAGATTTTATTTATGAAGTACGGCATGCTGATCAGTGTATTGTGCATACTACCCAGAGCAC